GACCTGTGCCCCCAGATATTTTTGGATGATAAACATTTGTATCAGGTCAACTAAACATGGGGATACAGTAGTAACAATATTTTTATACTACGTTTATCCATTTTAAATACACTAACCTCACTCATTTGGAACAACTAAACTATAAATGTAATTAATTCAGAAAATCTTTTCGGGACCCCACTTTGGGAAATGCTGTAGACGACCTCAGTTGTGTCACGTTCTTACATCGTCCATCAAAAGTTCATTTGGGCCAAACAGCAGCTTCCTGTGGCCACATGCATCATGTACTTTACTGAGTTCACCAGGGTTGTAGAAAGTACCACAAAGTGATACTTCAGTAAAAGTACAAGTATCTTAACAAAAGTTAACTTTGCTAAAAGTTAAAAGTCTCCTTTAGGGAATATTACTTGAGTAAAAGTATGTGATATTTGTTGTAGTTAAGTATTAAAAGTCAAAGTAACGATTTAAAATGAGCAGTTAGATTTCCTGTAAGGGCATTTATCAGGAGGTGACCTCCCCAAAAACTGCAGAAATAACTAATACACTATCAGAGTTTTATATATTTATACTTCTTATTCAACCACAGTTAAATTCACTCTATCTAGGAGGCTCAGTTTATATGGATAGTTTTTATTTTTTATAATACCAAGCAAAAATTAAATAAAAGTAACAACTTTCTACTGCTTGTCCTTTTTTTTTAATGTAAGGAGTAGAAGTAAAAAAAATAAAGTACAGATACCCAAAAAATCTACTTAAGTACTAGAACAAAGTATTTGTACTCTTGGAATTCACATCATTATGAAATTAGTAAACTATATTCTTAATCATTTAGCTTGAATATGATGTAATTATTGTTAGATGGTCACATATTGATGAAATGATTCAGATATATTAATTCATTTAACAGATCGAACCTGTGAGCTGAATTAAAGACCATGTAAAGTAAAAATAAATGTGTTCTGATGTCACACCACAGAAATGTATTAAAAATACTGTTAACCTTATAAAAACAAAACCGTTGTTTTCTTTTTGTGATTTTATTTTGAAATAAGAAAACCATGAGTTAATATGGATGAATATTTTTGTTTAGCCTCGCTGTAGTTGAATTATAATCGATGTTAGAGCCAAGTTTACTCACTGAGGTTTAGTCGCTCCATCCAATCAGAGATATTTTGCTAACTCTTRTATTTCAGCAGGATGAGACTGTTGGCAACAAGTGATTAAAAAACAAACAACTGATTCTCTTCAAGCTAGTCCCTGAGTAATTTGTCAAAATGTGGCTTCACAGGTTGCTGCCAAAGTTGTTTGAAAATTTACAAAATTTCTGATTCAAAGGAGTTWATAAAAACGCAGAGTTCCAGACAAGATTCAGACTAGAACGTTTTGTGTGTCCCGACATTAATGGTGCGTTCACACCAAACATGATTTCAGCTTCAGGAGCAGCAGGTTTACATACAAAGTCCATGATGGACGCGCTTCAATCAGCGTCAGGAAGTGCTGCGGCGCCTCAAGCGCGATTAGAGCAGCTCGATTTGAACGATCTGAGCGTTCGACGCGCTGAGGCGCAAATCGCTGAAGTTAGAAAATCTGAACTTTTGCAGCTCGACGCGCCGCGTCAACCAATCAGAGAGACTCCACTGTGTGACTTAGTGACATATTTCCAGACGGGACAGTTTACTGAATGATGTCCACTAACCTGAAACAGATGGAGAGGAGCTCTTTAGCTGAAATGAGTGCCTGCAGTCGGTGTCCTGACAGAGATATCTGCACCAATGCGTGGCAGCGACTCATCAGACTGGACTCAGGACAAAAATAGTCCTGAAAGCGAGCTGTGAGCCTCTCCTCTGAATTATCTGGTGAATTAATTATGAATTAATTATCTGATGAACGTGACATGCTCTTGCTCTCTGTAAATAAAGCAAAGCCACTTCCTCGTCCGACATTAAACTGAGCCGGACAGAGGAGGGAGGGGCGGGGAGGCTCTTGCCGTGCAGCGCTTCAAGAGCTGACCTGCATCTGACCTCAAAGTGCACAAGCGTCCAACTTGAAGTGTTGGCTGCCATTTTGAAGCTGAAATCACGTTTGGTGTGAACGCAACATTAGAGCGACGACAACCTCAGGGTTATCCCAGAGGAGGTGGGCTGCGCTGGGCGCACTCATAACTACGAAATGTTTTTGTAATTTGTCGCCACGTCTCGGTGAGACYGTTACGTCATCGCTCACCTGCCAAACGTTTTAACATCCCGCTGGTCTTTTCCAGATCGAGGACCTCCAGATGAAGCTGCAGCATGCCGAGGCCGACCGGGAGCAGCTCAGGGCCGACCTGCTGCACGAGCGGGAGGCCCGGGAGCACCTGGAGAGGGTGGTGAAGGAGCTACAGCAGCAGCTTTGGCCCAAATCCAGCAGCAAAGACGGGACGTCCAAGAACAAGTCTGCCGACAACTGAGACCAGCAGCTGGTTCACATCAGCGCTGGGCCCAAAAAAAACAAAAAATAAAACTTATAAACTCTCTGATGGAAGAAAGATCTTTGTCCAGACTTATTACTGCAAAAACTGCTTCACTCAGAACTGAAACACCGGAGAGAAGAGCAGCTGGGACGGAGCAAAGAACTGCTTACCGGTGAAAAGCCGAAGCCTCCGGTAAAAAGGACTTTTAAGACTTTATAAGCTGTTTGAGAGACATGTACAGTTAATAATAAAAAAATGCTCTTCTGTGTTAGAGTTTAAAAATAAACGAGATGAAGAACAAATAAAAATCCCCCCTGTGCCACTTCTTCAACCATGTCGATCTGAAACAAAAGTCCTGATGTTTTATAAAAAAAAGTTTTAATGAGCACTTCTTTCATTTATTCAAAATTTATTGTTTCGCAAAAATCTTCTTTTTTTTTTTTGGTCAAAACACAATTATCAGGTTGTGGGCGTGGCCAAATATTCAATTTTTTTTTTAGTCGAATTGGCTTTGTCACATTTTTTCCAACAGCAAACTGGTCCTGCTAAATAAATAAAGGTCTGTAAATAAAAATAAGTTTGTTTTATACTTACAATAAAAATCGCACTTTGTCGTAACAAAATCCTGCTATAAATCCACTGTTCTCCATCCTCCTCCTTCGTTTCTCTTCTCTGTGGCCACAGAAAAGACTTCGAGCGTTTTGTCCAATTAAACTTTGGTTTTCTCCGACAACTAAAGATTTGTAAATAAGGAAAAATGTCCAGTTTTGGCCTTTTTTTTTTTTTTTTACAGGAATCGTGGTTTGGCGCGTTTTTCCGGCTGCATCAAGTTCTGGAACTGTTACAAGAGCACGAACAAAAAAATAATAATTTTAAATATATATATAAAGCTCTTTATGTTGTTTTAAAGTGTAGACATGTTTTATTGTTTGTTTTGTTTTTTCCTCCCCAATAGATGATTTGTTTATGCATGAAATTTGCGAACTCATATAGTCAGTTATTGGGCATTGATTCTGAACATGTAAAGACTTTTATTGTGTTATGCAAATATAAAGCAACTTGTCTTATTTAGCAGAGGAATATGTACTTATTATTGAAAAATGCTGAATTTTTTGTTTTGTTTTAAAGGAAAAAAAACTTCACACTTGCAAATATACAAAAAAAAATACAAAATTCTATGCTGGAAAACCTCAAGTGCCTGAAAGTGGGCAAAAGGTTTCCAGAGCAGGAAAGCTGATGATCAGTTTCCTGTTTGCAACTTTCAAATTAAAAGCCCCTTTTTTACTCTGCAGCGTTTTTAAAATCAGTATTCTAAAGAAACAGTTTACAAATGTTTGATTCTTAGAGCAGAGAACAGTCGAACAAATGCTTTTAAGGTTGTTTTTGTTTTCTTGAATGAAAGTTGTCTTTTTCAAATTAATATGCATGTTAAGATCATTTTTTATACAAGTTCTTAAAAAGCCACTTGCTTGGGTGAATTGTTACTCTGATTTGTATATAAAGACGAAAACATTTATTTGCGGTTTGCCGACTTAACTCGAGGCAAACACACGGGTCGGGAAAAAAAAGTGTTTCATCCGGTATTTAATGTCGTCCGTCACTTTGGCGGACCTCAATTGGTACATTTTGTAGTAGTTTTTACACAATTGATAGCCTGTGTGTAGTTTGTGTTTCTCATAGTTTTCTAAAAAAAAACAAAAAGGAGATGATAACSTTTGGCTTTTTGCGCTCCGACGCGRAATATAAAAATTTCACCGACGTTTTTTTTCTAAAGGAAAATCATTTTGCTAAATCAGTAAAGCAGCAATAAGTTGAAAAATACTAGCCAGTGTGAAGATTTGAATAAGGATTTACATTTGTAAATATGTTTTCTTCCTTTTACAATATTGTATAATAATTGTACATGTTTCCTTTTTCAAAAACATCTTTTCTTACAGTAGCCGTTTGAGTTCATTTTTTGTTTTTTTAAGTTGTGTTTTAACAAAAATGTTGATGCAGTAAGAGAATATTCCCTTCATAAGCATGTTAACCTTGTTTTTACTGTAGAGTCTATATTGAGTTTTTTCACGAGTTTATATGTATTTTTAAAGTTTGTTTGGCTTCATATAGCAGCCGCCTAGCTGATTGTTTCCCCTCATGTATTGTTTTAGCCCTGTGCTGCTGCTAATACTATATACAATTCTAGAAATATTTTTATGTAAGAAGCAAGCTTTCCCGTTTTTTAATAACGCCACATATATAGTATAAAATGAAGCTCGGCTTATTCATCTACATCCCTTTCTTTTGGCGCCTTCTCCCTTCCGTCATCACCGTTCCCTTCTCTAACCACASCGACCATATTGTAAAGTAAAGGACTTTATGAGATTACGTTTGAAAATAGCTATGCTTATATACTACAGTGACTGAATGTACAGTGTATAGATGCATTACAAGAAATAAAGTTGTTTGTCCAGATTCAATGACCCAGTTTCCTATTTTTGCTGCCAGTTTGGCAAAATAATTCCTAATTATCTTTTAATTGAGAACAGTTTTGGCTTCATCTTTAAACCTCAACTAATGATCGTTATTCTGTGATGAGAATAAGTCTGCTGTTTATTTTCTATTGATAGAATCAAAGAACTATTAAAACAAGTTAAAATAACGGCACTATAAAACCTTTTACCAGATAGGGATTTACTGTTTCAAACTATAAAATCTCATCCAGATTGAGATTAGAGAGAATTTAAATGAAGCTTCAAGTAGGAGAAGGTTTTTCAGACGCCTGCATTGTTCAACTTCTGATACAGCAGAAACAAATCACAACAAAATTGGTTTTATCCAAAAAATATTTGGTGACAAGAAACACAAGCCACCATATGTTCCCTCTAATATACCCATCCCCATGTTCCCTTGTACCTATGTTCCCTCTAGTACAGTTGTGGTCAAAAGTTTACATACACTTGTAAAGAATGGTAAATGGTAAATGGTAAATGGTACTGAACTTATAGAGCGCTTTTCAAGTCCCTCCGGACCCCAAAGCGCTTTACACTAACAGACATTCACCCATTCACACTCAGCAGCAGTGATCAGCAGCAAACTTCAGCCGAGTCTTAAGGTGCCTTTTCTGGAGCAAGGGCTTCTTTCT